GTTGGTGCGTTTGAGTAGTCATCATTTAGCTCCTGTTCGCTGAGGTCGTCGTCCATGTGGTAGGGAGCGTTCTCGGCGTCATCTGACACGGACACTGCGAACACGTCGGCGTTGTCTGTCTTCTTCTCTCTGGCTTTGCGCGGGAGCGTGCGGAGGAGGGATTGTTCCTCCCTAGAAAGGTTGTCCTTATTAATGGTTGTGGCAGTGCGGTCTTGGTGGGACCGTTGTGGCGCGCGGTCTTTCCCGTCGGCCTGGCCGGCGCGTCTCTCGCCGTATTGCGGGAGGTGCTGGTCGCGTGGCTGTCCGTTCTTCGGGTCCGCGTGTGTCAGGGAATTTCACCAGGCTCTAAGCGTGGTGACCAACAGATCTTAGACCAAAAAACCAAAACAAACCGAAAGTCCAGAAACTGATTCCACCTTGCAAGGTTAACTCCTGTACCTACAATAACTCAGAGAGCACACTGCAGTTACTAGTTTTACGTGATCACGGGGGAAAACGCATCAGCTATCAGACTGCTCAGGACACATCCTGTGTACTAGCAGAGTGATTTTCCCGATGTGCCCCTTTCCGGACACAGCTTTTATTCAGCACATGAAAAGAAGGCGTGGTTACATTTACACAATACCATATTTGTTCATAAAGAAAAAGCAGTTAATGCAGTTGGTGCGTCTAGTGACGCCCCCAACTCAACGTCTCAAACTTTCCGTTGCTCTTGTCACTTCGGAGAACTGTTGTGCTAACGCGCGTCAGCCACATCCTGTCCCCTTTGCGCACACTTTCACATCCTGCTCTCTCTGCACAACACTTTTATATGAACATTTGGTTCAAATCACAATAGCAGTTCTGCTTATAAATGCACATACAATAAACAAAATAAAAACTTAACATGAACCCTGGACATTCTTGTACATTTTCCCCCTGTTTAAACAAATTTCATAGAAAGTGTTCCAAGGCTAATCTTCCCGCTAGGGTTTGGATTAGCTCCTTCATGAATTTCTTAGAATTTGTACAACATGGGTTAACGATTATTTACTCTCTATCTACGTCCAGGATCTAACAGGGTGGTCCCATGTATCTAGGTTATCAGGGTCAGCTTGGTAGTGTCCTGTAACAGTGTTATAGTGCACCCACAACCCCCCTTCTACAGCGGTGTACGGTACAGATGTGGGAGTACCTGGTGGAAACGACAGGGCACCCTGCCATTTAGATTCTACAACCCACTCGTCATGTTGGGTACACCCTGTGGGACGTCTTGCCTGGACATCGGACAGCACGCTACAGGGTATATATAGAGAAAAATTACCCTCAGGGGGTAAACAAAACCCTGGGTCCCTTGTCGCTCTTCTATACAGATCAGTACATAGTTCTCCTGGGGTCTTCTGTGGCTGCTCTGGACCGTTGGCGACGTTGTTGACTGGGGCTGTGAAGGTCAGCGTAGCCAGGCCTAGGACTAAGCCTATCAGAACCTGGATCGATCTCATCGTAGCCAGGCCTAGGACCAAACCTATAAGAACCTGGATCGATCTCATCGTAGCGGTTGTGTGTGTCACAGTACCGTTGTTGTTCACAGCTTACCAACGACGTCCTGCGTCTCTCTAGGCGTTCGGGTCAAGTTGGTCTCGGAGCTTGCAATGGGAGAGATGCACCCACGAGGTCCGTCCCTCAATCTTCACTGCCGTGGGGGTGGAGATGGTGACGACGTGTGGACCCTCCCACCGTGGGCTGTTCCAGGACTTCCTCTTTATCACTTTGATGAACACACAGTCCCCTGGTTTCACAGTCCTTTCCTGTTGAGAGAATGGTTCGGCAGGCAATTTATGCACATTTTGAATTTCCCTGCTCTCAAACAGCTGTCTCATATATGTCACCAGGTCTGGACTAGTGTCCGGTCTGTCCTTCTCGGTCAATTGTAAGTCTGGAATAGTGAATGGTCTTCCATACAGGATTTCAAATGGAGACAAAGAGTTCTGGGTGGGTAAAATATGTAGATTAGTTTTTACAAGATCCACACATTGCGGCCACGTTCTTCCTGTGTCCTTAGTAGCTTTGGAGAGTTTATTTTTGATTGTTCCGTTTACTCTCTCTACCAGTCCTGCTGATTGAGGATGGTAGGCACAATGATTTTTCAATGTTATTCCCAAATGTTCACCTATACGATGGATTACTTCATTAACAAAATGAGCACCACAGTCTGATCGTATAATCTGAGGAATCCCAAAGGTCGGTATTATGGTTTTACAGATGGCCTTAGCCACTGTTAGTGAGTCATTACTTGCCGTAGGGAACATTTCTACCCACTTGGAGAATGCATCGATGATTACTAAACAATACCGTAGTCCATTAGTTTTGTTTAGTTCTATGTAGTCCATGTGTATTGTGTGAAACGGGTGTGGAGGCTCTGGGAACTTCCCTCTCTGTGGTCTCGCCGCTCCCTGGGAATTGTTTCGAATACATATCGACTCTGAGGAATCACTGGACAATTCATCCCTTGTGGTTTCCACAGAGTCCCCCAATACCGGGAGTCATGCTTCACTGTCACTACTCTCCGCTGCTCTCTCTTCTCGCTTCTTTCCTTTAGACTTGTCTGGTTTCCCTCTCTTCTTAGGGCATTCAGCCATAAGATGTCCTGCCTTCCTGCATATAAAACACAGGCCTTTCTCCCAACATTCTTGCTTATCCTCGTCTTGTCCTAACTTTCTGTAATCTCTTTTTCCTTGGTATCCACCCTTTCCCTTTCCGCTCCTCCTGGGTTTGTCCACTACAAATGTAAGAGTCTCTTGTTCCCCTGTATACATAATGGAGGTAGCTTTGCTGCGCCTTTTCTCCTTCTGCACTGTCTCTGCGTGTTTGGCATGAGCAAAAATGTCATCAAAACCCTTAGACTCATATCCCACACAATGCTTCACAATATGGTTGCGCTCCTCTACCCTGATGCCGTTTAAGAATACGGTCTTCAATTGCTGTTGGTAAGCGCCTCAGGGCTCATCAGACGGCTGGAGTCCAGAATGCTGGTCAAATAATGTTTTGAGTCTGGACTCATAATTCTCCATGGACTCATGTTCGCCCTGTTTACATTTGCTTATTATTGACCAATCTGCTTGTGCCGGCCACATGTTTCGCATTCTTGCAAAAACTCCGCCTGGGTCTGGTCCTGCGGCTGGCCTACTAAGCTCTTGTATCACCTCTTGGAAGTTTCTTACTGCTGGTTCTCCCTGGGCTGGAGCTGTCATGTGTTGGAAATGTGGTTCGAATTTATGCCATTTCATTTTGAAAAAATTTCTCAACATGTCTCGTGTTTCTGTTCCGTCTAACCGGAATGACAGAATCACAGAGGTGAGATCCTCGATAGCATGTTCTACATTATTTTCTACTTTTCTAATGCTATCTACAACCTCCTTCAGTTCCCCTGGAGTCCATGGCCGATGCACATATATCAATTGATCACCATCCTGTCTGGGATTGGGCAGGGGAATCATTGGGAACGCACTGCTATCCACATGATAGTAGGGGCTGGCTACAAAGGGATTGTACGGACTAAAAACGTACGATCCCGTGGCTTGGTCACTGGGGGTTTTTGGGGCTGAGGCAGCTTTTTGCTCCTCCAAGAGTTTTGTTTGTGCACGTGTTCTGCCTTCTAGGGCATTACTCATGGTCAAATCGGCAAAATTTCTAGTTAAATCTTTAGTGGGGGGTAGGGTAGGATATAATCTTTCTTCAGTGAGGTCTGGGGACATATCACTACTAGAGGATATTTCACTGAATGACTGGGACTGTCTTGGTCTGGGCTGGTAATATGGGGGGGGTGCCTCTGTCTTTAATGTCTTTGGCATGGATGTGGTGGATCTCCTCGGGGTGTTTACTGGACTCAACTCACCCTCCTCATCACTTTGATCTGCTACTAGTTCTGGCCGCCTTGCCCTCCCCTGACTGTGGCTGCCGTCACTATCCATCTGTCTGATTTGTTTGGTGGTGTAAATTTCTGTTTTCCCCTTCTTCTGATCCTTCAAATATTGGTTATAACGATTATGCAGGGCTTTAGCAGAATACATCCAATTTCTGGCTGCAAGGGTTTGTTTTCCTGCATAATCTTTCCCTTTTTGTTTCAGTGCATCTTTTAGGGTCAGATTCTGTAACAATTTTCCAATTTGGTCAATTTCGAATGTGGGTTGCCACCATTCATATCGTTTTTGCCATTTCTTTATGAACTGCACTGAATGGGGGAAACATTCCCTCATCCACTGCTCTGCGTCCAGAGCACGTGGATCACAGGGAATCTCCTTCCTAGATTTCTGACTCTTCTCTTTCGACTTTGTCTTTACCACTGCTAAGGTAAGTCTCTTCCTCCCGGTCTCCTCCTCCCCACTAGAGTCCGAGTCGCAGACCGGAGGTTTCTCCTTCTTTCCATTACTGTTCTTTCTCATGGTTGTTTCCCCTGTCTTGGGTCTCAGCTACGGTCCGTCGCACTCTGTCTTGAGTGGCACTCTGTCTTGAGTGACTTCTACCCTGTCTTGGGTCTCAAACACGGACCGACTCTGTCTTGAGTCGCTGTTCCCCTGTCTTGGGTCTCAGCTACGGTCCGTCGCACTCTGTCTTGAGTGGCACTCTGTCTTGAGTGACTTCTACCCTGTCTTGGGTCTCAAACACGGACCGACTCTGTCTTGAGTCGCTGTTCCCCTGTCTTGGGTCTCAGCTACGGTCCGTTGCACTCTGTCTTGAGTGGCTTCTACCCTGTCTTGGGTCTCAAACACGGTCAGCTACACTCTGTCTTGAGTATAAAGGATCGCTCATGTGATTTTTCACAACGTGTGAATATTCACCATTCAAACAAAGCACACTCGCACCATAAACCTGGTCCGCAGCTAAGTCTGATCTTTCACTCTAACATAAGAGATGTTTCTGACCTTTTGGTTGATGGTTGGTCTTACGCTGGGACCGATCCAGTTCTCAGCGCAGAGGACGATGAAGAGAGGTTGCCACGTGGAAAAGTGGTTTTTCCGGTGTTATCCGGGCCTGGCCAGGCTCTTGTCCAATCTCCCGTCGTCGCCCTCCACGTCCGAGTCCTGAATCCGGCTTCGAAGGACCAATTTCTGTCAGGGAATTTCACCAGGCTCTAAGCGTGGTGACCAACAGATCTTAGACCAAAGAACCAAAACAAACCGAAAGTCCAGAAACTGATTCCACCTTGCAAGGTTAACTCCTGTACCTACAATAACTCAGAGAGCACACTGTAGTTACTAGTTTTACGTGATCACGGGGGAAAACGCATCAGCTATCAGACTGCTCAGGACACATCCTGTGTACTAGCAGAGTGATTTTCCCGATGTGCCCCTTTCCGGACACAGCTTTTATTCAGCACATGAAAAGAAGGCGTGGTTACATTTACACAATACCATATTTGTTCATAAAGAAAAAGCAGTTAATGCAGTTGGTGCGTCTAGTGACGCCCCCAACTCAACGTCTCAAACTTTCCGTTGCTCTTGTCACTTCGGAGAACTGTTGTGCTAACGCGCGTCAGCCACATCCTGTCCCCTTTGCGCACACTTTCACATCCTGCTCTCTCTGCACAACACTTTTATATGAACATTTGGTTCAAATCACAATAGCAGTTCTGCTTATAAATGCACATACAATAAACAAAATAAAAACTTAACATGAACCCTGGACATTCTTGTACAGTGCTGGTCGCGTGGCTGTCCGTTCTTCGGGTCCGCGTGTTTGTGGTTATTCCTTTGGGGTCCGTGGTCGGTTCCCCATTTGTGTTTCCGGGCCGTTGGTGCGCCCTCAAGTTCCATGTGGTTTTCCACACTGTACACTGTAGGTTGGGTGTGCGGCTTCGCCTGTGTCTTGAGCAGATGTTTGCCTTGTGCTCGTGCCACCAGGGTCTTCAGTTGCCGTATGTCCTGTGTAAGGGGGCAGGCGTACACGCCCAGTAGCTGGCTAAGGTTGGGGTGGAGGTTTTGGAGGTCCCTGAAATTCGTGTCTTCCTCCATCCCTTCGTAGTTTCGGTTGCCGAAGAAGGCCTGTCGCAACCTGTGGTAGTAGCATTCCGCAAGCTCGTTGTGAGCTTGTTTGACTGCCATGGCTGCCGTGAGGGTCCCGGAGGCGCCGTAGTCTGAGTATTCTGCTAGGATGGCTTTGCAGAGCTCGTTGTAGTCGTGTTTTATAGCCTTTGGTTGCCTTTCGATGAAGTCATTCACCTCTCCATTGGACGTGAGTCTAATCAAGAATATTTTGTCGTCTTGGGATGCGTGTGGTATGCGGTCGGCGTGGAATTCGACGACGCGGAGGTATGACCGGGTGTTTGTAGGTATGCCGGGCCGGGGGTCAAAGCGGGTTATGTGTCTAGCTATGCGGTCGAAAGTTATCCACTACGTCGTGTTCCTCCACGACACTGTTGTGCTCGCTTGGTCGTGGCGAGTTTCCGCCATCGGTTTCCATATTTGTGTGGGTGAGTGTATGCGAGTATGATTTGGAACGTGTGTGCATGACACAGTGGGAGGAGGAAAGGAGGAAAGCAGTGCTATAGAGAGGGTAGTACAGCTGTTTGTGTGGTGGTGCAAACCTTGGTGTGTGTCAAAGCCGTGACTACAGCGTCCTCTCCGTGTGGCGGTGTATGCGAGTGGGCAGCCTAGGGCAGGGGCCGGGCGTTAGTACTTCTTCACCTGTGTGTCAGCGAAGAGCGTTGGGGTTAGAGGCGTTGGCGCACGTAGGGTTAGCAGTGGCGCCAGTGGTAGCAGCAGTATTAGGGCGCGGCGTTAATCCGCAGCGGTAGACGCGGCGTAAGAGACGCAGCGTGAGAGGCACCTGCGTGGGAGACGCACCTGCGTTATGGACGCACCTGCGTCGTTAGGGACGCACCTGCGTCGTTAGGGACGCACCTGCTTCGTTAGGGACGCACCTGCGTCGTTAGGGACGCACCTGCGTCGTTAGGGGCGCACCTGCGTCGTTAGGGGCGCACCTGCTTCGTTAGGGACGCACCTGCGTCGTTAGGGACGCACCTGCGTCGTTAGGGACGCACCTGCGTGGGGCGCAGCGTAGCTTTAGACGCAGCTCAAGTAGGCAGTAGCAAAAAGGCAGCAGGCTGAGCGGCAAGGCAATGTAGTTTTAGTGAAATCACGTTGCGTGGGGCAGGAATACAGTATTGGACTTGACCAACGCAGCGATGTAGCCTAACAATTATGTTTAAGAGGAGAAGCAGAAACAGAGTGTTAGCTTTTGTTATGTATAGCAGTAATGTGTTCTAATAGCAGCATGCGCTAGAAGGAGCAGAGTTACAATATGAAACTTGGCCAACGCAGTAATGTAGGCTAACAATTATGTTTAAGAGGAGAAGCAGAAACAGAGTGTTAGCTGTACCAATGTATAGCAGCAATGTAGTCTAACAAAAACAATATGATATGCGGAAGGGGGCGGAATTAAAATTATTCGTTTTAGTGTAGTACAATCAAACAGAGTGGTTATTAGTTTGAGCAACAAAACAGCATGGAACAACAGCTAGACCGTGTTAATGTTACCTCCATGGGCAGCAGTGCGGTCTCGCCGTGACATGCAGAAGGAGGGGCAGAATTAAAATTATTAGTTTTAGTGTAGTACAAGGAGGTGGGAGTGCAGTATCTGTCAGATCACACACCGATGTGGTTCAAGAATAACGCGCATCATGCAGGAGCAGAAGTACAGAATAGGATTAGTTACCACAGTAATGTGTTATTCATAACGTGCAGTAACAGAGGCAGAATCAAATTATTAGTTTCACCAGCGCAGCAATGTGGTACACCAGTTACATGCAGCAGTGTGGCAGAATTAAAATTATTAGTGTTAGTGTAGTACAAGGAGGTGGGAGTGCAGTATCTGTCAGATCACACACCAATGTGGTTGAACAATAACGCGCATCATGCAGGAGCAGAAGTACAGAATAGGATTAGTTACCACAGTAATGTGTTACTCATAACGTGCAGTAACAGAGGCAGAATCAGATTATTAGCTTCACCAACGTAGCAATGTGGTTGTTAGGTAGCAAACACAAACAGCATGGAATGGTAGCAAAAATAGTGTTAATGTTATAACTATGGGCAGCAGTGCGGTCTAGCCTTGACATGCAGAAGGAGGGGTAGAATCAAAATTATTAGCTTCACCAACGTAGCAGTGTGGTACGTCAATTACATGCAGCAGGAGGGGCGGAATTAGCGTATTAGTTTAGTACAATCAAACATCAAGTTTGGCCAAGTAATGTGTTATCAGTTGGAACAGAAACAGCACGGGACAATAGCCAAAAACGGTGTTAATGTTACAACCACGGCCAACACTTGATCATAAGACGTGGTGCAGGGTGAAATGTCAAGACAGCAGCAATGTGGTCCCGGAAGTAGTGCCGGGACCGGAAAGCAATCCTGTGTTAGACAATAAAAGAGGTGCGGCTCGTTTAGCAGTATGTCGAGACGGCCTAGCACTCCATGAACGTCAAAACACAGAATCAGAGTGAGATAGGATAGTACGAAAGTATAGTAAGTGGTGTTATTGTTAGACAACGGGTAGGCAATTCAGCAGAATGGTATTAGCAGTGGGGATGCGGCTCTGGCTTTTAGCACGCCAGGGCCGGAAGTTAGCCGTATGCTAAAAACAAAGGAGCGTAGCTAGCTTTTTTGGGTTGCCGGCAACGGGAGGTTTCAGCAGCAGTTTAGGCAATAAACATTGAGTTTTGGTAACCGAATGCAATTTGGTTAAACAGAGCGGCAGTAATTTTAACCGTGAGAGAGCAGCTATTGGTGGGAGCAGAATTAGGAGCAACGGCGTTGTCCGAGTGTAGCTTTGAGGTCTAGTAGGCCCGAGCGGAAGTTAGCCTTATGCTAGAACAAAGGAGGGTAGCTAGCCGTTAGCTTTCGAGCGCGGAACGTTTTAGCAGTAGTTTATACAACGAAAGTCTGGAGCGAGTTATACAGTTCGCACAAGCACGCGTCACAGTGGTGGGATGGGGTTTGTCTGTATGTACTGTAGGGTGCTGGTGTGTGTACAACAGCAGGTTAGCGGTAGAGAGAGTGGTGAGACAGGGTTAGCGTAGCCTAGCAGAACAGTAGCATCACATTCAAGCCGCTGCCGTTCACAGCCTTTCACACATATATGCTCGGTTACAATCCTGTGTGACGTGGGTCACAAAGGGACACAGTAGGTTCGTGCGCCCGTGTTCTGGACACGGCGCACGGTGGGTTACAAGGACAAGTTTTTGCGCTTTCTCTTAAGAGTTTAAGCGGCTTCACACTCCACGCTGCCCGCTGGCCAAGCGGGGCGACACGTTGTAGGAGATGCGTAGTACCCGTACGAAAGTCGGGATTTGAGACTAAATTAATAGTCTGGTGCATGCACGAGCGCTTTTTCGCAAGCGTAGGGCGTAGGGGAGCTCGATTGTTGTTGAAGTCACTATAGCAACGGAGGTAGCAGGGATGTGGGGGTGAGGAGGTGGGGGAAAAAGCGCTTTGAGCGTGAGCAGAGCTTCAGGTAGCGTATTGCAGATCAAATCACAGAGTACGAGTTGATAAATCTGGTCTATGTGCGCGGATCTCACAAACAGGGCACCATATATGTAGGGTAATAATATTACAGTAAGCTATAAATTTAGTAGTGTGGAGCGGCTAGTCTCCGGATCAGAAACTCGCCGTTCCACCAATGGATCTGTCTTATTTATTTTGGGCACCAGTAGACGTTTGAGGGTCTACGACAGATCCAAACTAACTTTGCCTCGAGTCAGTCTTATAAATCTAAAGATAGTGAATGCGTATATCAGCCAGGGATATGCCGAAATCTAACAACACGACTCTGATAGGATTGAGTTAAAGAAAAGGGGTTTATTGATTACAAAAATGAAGGTAAAAATATAACGAAGGGGATTTCTGGTCACATTAAAGCAGAAGTGGTATACATTTCATTCAAATCGCACATTTAACAAAGAACAGTCTTACTTTGTAGGAGCGTAGAGGATGGAGAAAGGATTTGGGTTGGGGAATCAGCCCACGTGGTTTCTTTGTCTGGGCAGGCGGGAGGTACAAAGCCAGCGAGTTTGGTCCAGCTGCTGATCCACGCGTATACAGCCCAGTCCGGAATGGGTTGCGCGCGTAGAGTCCAGAGCCAGGGAAAGAGGCTGGTGATGGAACAGTTCGTAAGGTCCCGAGCCAGGGGAGAGTGTGTTTTGCGGAGTAGAAGGCCCGATGCGTGCAGGCGCGGCCGTAGTTGGAGACACGTGCCGCGGGACGCAGATGGGCAGGGAGGTTGGGATAGTGATTTCAGGAGAAGACAAGAGCTCGTTCTATTACATTGTGGGTGCTTATATTGACTTCCCAGGGGAGGCGTGTCCATGCCGTCCTCCTCTCTGTGGACAAACCCTTCACAACAGACACTTTGCAAAGGAAACACACAGGATTGATGCAAATGATCATAACACATGTACAAACACACACCGCATTTCATTACTTTGACATTGATACACACATATGGGGCACAATGCAGATTATTGGAGTACTGGACCCAGGGGTGCTGGTTCGCAATTGTCCGTCCCGGGTGTGATAGTGTCCATTGTTCACTAGGGGGCGTCAGAGCGCCGCGGGGGAGTCTTTGATTGTCCGGTGGCAGGAGTCCTGGGAGCGAGAGCAGGGTTGTGATCTTTGATCTCTACAGGCAGGCAGAGACAGAGGTGCTTATCCCCGTGGTGACTTTATTGCTCTGTTTGGCATCTGTAATCCCCATGATCAATGATAGTCCTCCGGCCGACCTCGCTGTTCCTTTGAGGCCGCAGTGGAATGTCTCCCTCCTGTTGGTCGAATGTGTACACAGTCCAGGGCCTGGCTCTGTTTTACGGCCCTGTCCCTTATTTAACCTTACACAGTAAATGATTAGAAGACCGGCACAACAAAAGAAGAAAGGGTTCTAGTGTGTGTTGAAATCTTTCACATTTTAACATTATTGAAAAAGAAAATTACCCAGAACAATAGAAAAATGTGTGTGTGTGTGTGTGTGTGTGTGTGTGTGTGTGTGTGTGTGTGTGTGTGTGTGTGTGTGTGTGTGTGTGTGTGTGTGTGTGTGTGTGTGTGTGTGTGTGTGTGTGTGTGTGTGTGTGTGTGTGTGTGTGTGTGTGTGTGTGTGTGTGTGTGTGTGTGTGTGTGTGTGTGTGTGTGTGTGTGTATGTGTATATGTGTCTCTGTGTGTGCATGTGCTTGTGTGTATCTCTGTGTTTGGGTGTGTCTGATTCAGGGTGGCAATGTCAATCATGTTGTACCACAGCACTATGGGCCACCTCTGTCTTTGGTACTTGCAGGTGTAGGTGCCATACTTGCAATCCCACCCCGGGTGGGTGGGGGTGCATCCAGAAAAAAAATCATCCAATGTTTTTATGTGGCATCTTCTTGAAAACGTTTACAGGATGTTCCAAAAGTCAGCTCTTGGTCCAAAGCTACGCTCTAAATATCTTCAATGCTGAGAGGACTATATTTTTTGACCAGTCTAGTTTAGAATCAGAATCAGAATAATTTTTATTGCCACGTAAGTAACACGAAGTCACAGACTTGGAAATTGCTTTGGCTAAGTGCAACAGTCAGAGAGAGATAATAAAAAATAAAAAATAAAAAACACTTCTAAGATTTAAATTTCAAATAGAGTTACAGTTACTATTTTCAATATACAAGTGCACATGGTGCACACAATATAAGGTGACAGCAGTACAGTGAAGTAAAGTGACGTATGATGGGCAGTAAAGTGACTTTATAAAGGGCGGGGGGACAGGTTAAGAAGTGTTCAAGAGTCCAACAGCAGAGGGGAAGAAACTGTTCTTTTGGCGGGAGGTTCTAGTCCTGATGGACCGCAGTCTCCTGCCTGAGGGGAGTGGTTGGAATAGTCCATGTGTAGTGTGAGAGGGGTCGGCTGTGATACGACCAGCCTGGCCTCGAGCTCGGGCGGCGTACAGGTCCTGCAGCGATGGAAGGCTGCGGCCAATCACTTCCTCTGCAGAGCGCACAATGCGCTGTGTCTCTGTTTGTCCCTGACTGTGGCTCCAGCGAACCACACGGTGATGGAGGAGGTGAGGATGGACTCGATGATGGACTCAATGGTGGCCTGTGCAGGCACCTTGGCTTTCCTGAGATGCCGCAGGAAGTACATCCTCTGCGGGGCCTTCTTGACAAGGGACCTGATGGTCGGCTCCCACTTGAGGTCCTGGGTGATGGTGGTGCCCAGGAAACTATAGGACTCCACAGAGGTGATGGGGGAGTCCATCACGGAGGGTGGGGGCGGGGGGACAGTGCTCTTCCTGAAGTCCACATTCATCTCCACTGTCTTCTGGGCGTTCAGCTCCAGGTTGTTACCACTGCACCAGGACACCAGCCGGTCCACCTCCCTCCTGTAGGCGGACTCATCGTTGTTGGAGATGAGTCCAATGAGGGTGGTGTCGTCCGCGAACTTGATCAGCTTCACGGAGTCGTGGCTGGAGGTGCAGTGGTTGGTGTACAGGGAGAAGAGCAGGGGAGAAAGAACACAGCCCTGTGGGGCTCCTGTATTTATAATCCGAGAGT